CTGCTGCTTTTCGCGAATAGCCCTTAAACCAAAAAGAAAGAACACGACAAAATAAAGAACACCTAAGAGCCCAGAAGACGAACTCCAAAGAAGCTATTTTACGCTCCCTGGGACAAAATGGATATCCACGTGAAGGCCAAAGGAAAACAGGAGGAGAAGCACATAACGCCAAGACTGAAAACCGTAAGGATCCAGCCACATCTCGAAGACGCTCACCCGCCCCACCTCGATTCATCTTCCGACCCAGTGTCGTCCGCTCCTCTGGTGGCATTTTCTTTCTCAGTAGCGCCAAAGATCAGACCTGCCTTCACAACTGACGGCACCTCGGATGTGACAAGTGCCACGACTCTGAGGAGCATCCTCCAACCGGGAGAACAGCGGAGGGGCGAGACACTATGCAGTCTACTGGGACGGGCAGCCAGCCGGGTCGGGAGGGCCCAGTATTTGAAAACAGCACACCAAGGAGGCATTTCTGTGAAGCGTCAAGAGCCCCAGTCCACCCACGGCTTACCTTGCCCCAGTCGGGCTTCAGGTCCACGGTTTTGCAGCCATCCTCATAAGCCTTCTGGTAGTCACCTTTCTTGGCGTAGGCCGCTGAGCGATTGCTGTAGAGCACGTGGTTCTGGGGATCCAACTTGATGGCCTCAGAGTAGCACTGTAATGCATCATCGATGTTGCCAGCACTCAGGGCCTTATTGCCCTTCTCTTTCAGCTCGTTTACCTGAGGAAAAAAAGGAACCAATGTAGTTTCTTCCGTAACGCTATTTTTTTCATGTTTTTCCTAGTTCTTGAGAGAGAGAATGTGCGTGCGCAAGCGGGAGAGGGGCAGAGGACCCGAAGCAGGCTCCATGCTGACAGCAGTGAGCCCGATGTAGGGCTTGAACTCACGGACTGCAAGATCATGACCTGAGCCGAAGTCGGACCCTCAACCGACTGAGCCACCCAGGTGCGCCGGTCCCAATTTTTTTTTTTTTTTTAATTTTTAAAATATTTATTTTTGAGACAGAGAGAGACAGAGCATGAACGGGGGAGGGGCAGAGAGACAGGCAGACATAGAATCGGAAGCAGGCTCCAGGCTGTGAGCTGTCAGCACAGAGCCGGACGCGGGGCTCGAACTCACGGACCGCGAGATCGTAACCTGAGCTGAGGTCGGACACTCAACCGACCGAGCCACCCAGGCGCCCCATCCGGTCCCAATTTTTTAAGCGACACTCATACTTCGGTTGTCAACAAAAAAGTTACTTTACACACCGAGAGAAAGAAAGCGTAAGTGAATTCATTTGCCATCTCCCACACCTTCGGGTGGGGCCAACAAGAAAAATAAGTAACCAGGAAAAGCAGGCTGACACCTCGCTCTCTGCTGGCTCCAGTTCGGAGGAACGCGCATGGCAGCCACTCTTTGCTCAAAGCCTCCACCTGGGGCTGACGAAGCCACTCTAGAACACACTCATGAGCTCCTTTCGTGGAAAAAGAAATCCACTGGCCACGGGAATGCCAAGAAGCCCAAACGGTAAACCGAACACAGGCCTAGTGGCCTGGTCGGTCACTCCTCGAAGAGACCATGGCGAACGAAGGAGCAGGAGTGTGCAGGGACACAGGCCCCCCAGCGAGCGACCTGAAGGCTTCGCGATGGCTTCTTGGGAGCCTCAAGATGCTTACCCGCAATCAGGAAGAATCTATTTCCATTCCCAGGTGGGGTAACCCATCACAACGTGGTAGAGCTAACTCCCCAGATCAGTCTTTGCCGCGTTTAATTATTACTATAAAAGATACACAAGATAATAACAACCTACTTGTGGTTTAATCCCCTACCCTCTCAAACGTTCAGAACGTGGTCCTGATTATAGGGCTTCTCCTACACCATTCTCTCTCCAGATCTATCATCCAGCCGTGAGCCGGCACGGACGGATGCAAGAAAGAAGCGTTAAGGGAAACACCTCTGGAGCCTCGGGGCAAACCGATTGGGAACTTCCCTTCATCAACCAGAGATGTGAGAGAGACAGCCTTGAAAAAGGAAAAGTCCGGCAAACAGGGCCAAATCTAGCAAGGGATAAAAATCTTCGAACCCGGGAAGGAGACCAGAGAGCAAAAACTTAAAAAACTAGTATCAAGCGGCAGCTGAGAATGGCGCCATGGAGTTCTTGTCTCTCCCACAAAACACCCCTTTCCACACGGAGCACTGACCAGCAGGTCAGGAAATCAAGCCTGCAGGTGGTGACCAGCACTTTGAAAGATCAGGTAGGATAGAAAATACCAGCACACCAGGCACATGATGGCAAATGCCATTATGCTAAATAAACGCGCTACACGGTTGCAGGTCCAAACTGGGTAAAAGGTGTAGTACCCTGGGATTTATCTGAAAAGCGCGAAGTTTAAAACATCAAAACATGAAAAACTGGACACGCAAATCCCTCCACCTTGGATTATTTCCTAAAACTGAAATCCAGATCTCCAAGCTGAAGATGAAAACCAAAGGCAGAGGCGTCGCATGTCCAACCGGCCCAGGAGAGCAGGTCCTGACACACAGAGGTAGTAAACCGCCAGGCTGCCCGCACTACAATCACAAAGTTGCCTTCACTCGTTCATTCACTGTCTGCCCCTACGTATGTGTTTTAGCTTTTTCTACCTACACCGGGTGGTGCGATTTTAAAAAGTTTTGTTTTTTTTTTTTCCTATTTTGACAAACCCCTTCAATTGGAGAGTGATGTGTTTCTCATTCCAGAACTCATTTTCTTGTCCATACCTCAGTCTGTTTAATCCCGGATGCAACTTTACTATCCCAAGTGAGCAAAAACTTTTTAACCCCTCCATTTCCACTCTTTCTTAATTTACCAAAGAGGCTCCAGATCTGGTTAATCGTTACGCTTCCACTGACAGTTTCCGACTGAATAAAACCTCTCCAGGCTTTTCACAACCTGCGGGCTGCCGAGGATACAATTAAGCCACCGAAAAGCAACCAGCCGCGGTTACAAACTCGGTCCCCTAAAAATGAGCCCAGGCAAATAACTTACTTCTTGCTGCTTATCTACGTAGCCTACTACACGAGATTTTCTACAGCGACCAATTCCTCCTTGGGTAACCAGAAACCAACTTTCCAGAAATACCAGCCTTCAGCTACTCTCGAATCACACACACACCCCAAAACAGAAAAAAGGACGGGAGGAGCCACACATCTCTCTGCAAGACGCTGCTAGACCTGGACTGGTTCTAAGGACTTTCGCCGCACCGTCCCTTTCCTGCACCAGGCAGATAAGTCGGCCCGCTACTCTTCAAACCTTCCATCAACGCTCTTCCATCCCGGCCCTTCCAGATGCAGGAAAAGTAGGATGTGCTACCTGGCTACTTCCAGTGTACTTCCGTCCCCGCTCCCTGCATCCCTCCAAGTTAACTGTGACCAAGTCCGGGTGGCTTCTCCGTCGGCAATCCCCGCTCTCCCGGGTGGCGCATTCCCTGGTGTGGACCCGGTCCCTCCCGCCG